GATTCAAAGGAACGGCGAGAAGCGTCATTCTGGCAATGAGCACAAAATAATAATCCAAAAAATAAGATTCGGAAGTCTATCTATATATGAGTGTAGATTGAAAAAAAACCACAAAATTGATAAAGCTTTTAAAGATTCAAAAATATTTTTGCATGGTCGTTGAGCATTTCAGGGAAGCTCATTGGCGTAACAACGCATTTTTTGACAAAAATTGAGTGTTATTTAAGCCGTTTCGTTGAAAAAGATTAATAGGTCCAATTCATCTGTGAAATTCAAAAAAAGGAACCATTGCAAAGATAAAAGTGCTGCAAGTGATCAACTGCAAAAATGTATGTGTGTGTGTGTGTGTGTGTGCGTGTAGGAGGGGACAAGGAATAGGGGAAAGGAAATCAACCAAAAAGTTGTGTGTTGCAGTTAACAATTTTTTGGTATGGAATTTGTTGATAGGCAAAAAAAAAGAAGGAGAAGAAGAAGAAGAAAAAACAAAAACAAAAAAAAAAAAATAGAAATAAAAAAACAAAAAAATTGTTTGAAATAAAAGAAAAAAAATTTTTTTTTTTTCTCTTGAGGTTCAACGGGATTGCCTCAAAATGACACACTGATATCTCTTCTTCACTCGTCGTTCAGATGTGCAAAAAATGACAAAATGATCATTAGTTAAAGTCTAAAAAATGCTTGCCTTTTTTTGCTGTTTGCACTCGTAATCTAGCGCTAAACGTTCAACAAAATTTAGAATATTGGGTTTAATTATTGGAGATCTTAGCCAGGCTGCTACTATTGCTGAATCTGCAACAGCAACATTTAAAGCTTTTTAAATATTGGGAGTTCATTTCCGGGCCAATATATAAATTAAAGAAAAGATAAGATTTGTCTATGAATCGTAGCAACAACGATAGCTATTAATGGGAACAAGAGCAGTAACAAAAACTGTAAAGATCAAAGTAACATTATTGCACTACAATAGCTACTATAATAGTGTTAATGATCAGTAAATTACTAGAATCTAAATTTGGTATGCAGTGATTGTCATTACATGACGTAGAGTAGAGGAAAAAAGTTTTCAGTGTTGGTTTTGATGCTGGTAGAACCAAATGACTGATTATATAAAATTGGATTAATTTGATGATGTCTATACTGTTGGTATGGAAAAAAAAAAAACGTTGGAAATAAAGTACAGCAGGAAAAAAAACTTTAATTTTCTTTCATTGAGCTGCGAGAAAAGGGGAAACAGAGGGGAATGGAGGATTTGAAGAGGAAAAGGTTTTTTTTTTTTTCTTGTTGTCCAGCTGCAAATTGTAAAAATTTGAATTTATTGGTTTTCAACTGTGTTCTATTGCTTACATATAGTGAACATATTATATACAACGTATTGCCTGTAATGCTGACTACCGCTGCAACAGGTATCACTCCATTAATTCATCACTTTTCTTCTTTTCTAGATAACACTTATTATTAATTTATAAACATCAATTATTTGACCTCTCTTTCCCCTCCCCCCCCAAAAAAAAAAAAAATAAATAAATAAATAAATAA